TCTTACATTTGCGATAAGGATTTGGGATTGTGAAATAAGAATCATTGGAATCATGTTCAATTGGTCTCTTTCACAAAGTAAGGATCATAGACAAACATAGTGTGTATTCTTGGAGTATGGCATAACTATTGTTTGGATAAACATAGTGTGCATGCTTGGAGCATGGCAAGACTATTGTTTCAGTTCAAGTATTAAGTTGATTATTCGAAACATTATACAATGAATAAGGTGTAATCAATATGGTGATAAATAAAAGGTGTTTTATTTATATTCATAAGTTTTGAGACCATATTGGATTCGATTATTCTTGTGTTTCACTTTGCATGTTTTGACTTCCCGAATAACTAGGTTATTCAAACTCTCCACAGTTAATTTTACGTTGGAAATAGGTATGAATTAAGACTGTCATGAATTGGGCTTGTAGATGTCTAAAGTGTTTATACATAGCAAAAGTTGGTGCAACTTTCATGAGTGCTCCTGGAATGAGATTCGAGTATTAGATTAAACCACGCTCATTTGAATCACTTCATGGATTTTATCACGAGTGATAATGAGACGATAAAATCTTATATTCTTCAAATGGAGACATTTGAGTTGTAGTTGCACGTCGGTTGCACATTGACATATGTAAACATAACCAATAACTTGGTTTTGATAAAACATATCATTGTGTGTAATTTGATGAGAAAGTACAAGAGAACATTTAGGTCGATGTTTTTCTGTTCCTTTTACCCTTGGAGGGATGAAAGCGATATCTGTGGGCCCCTCAATGATTTAGTGATGACAAATATAAGTGCTCCGCTGGGCCTGGACTGATTTGATTGGTTCAATTAGTCATTTATCGTAAATCGGAAATCGGGAAACAACAAATAGACAAAGAGAATGATTATAATCCATGTCTCCATCCATATGATATCTAGAATGTAGGAATATATGATCCCTTATCTAATTGACACGTCATTATCTAGGTCAGAGTTCGATAGTGCCTATTAAGAGATACGATTACTAGTCGGGATCTTGGCGTGATATTTGCAATAATTATTTTAGACTTTTCCAACTGGGAGACTAGTGGATGAGATGTCTATGCCCATAACTAATATTGGTATGTACTCGAGCCGAGAGTAGCATGGTCCATTTGGGTTGCATAACACCAGGACAATTTGTTAGGATGGACTCTTGAGAGAAGGTTATATATGATTTATTAATATATTATAAGTTCTAATATATTAATATGAAATCATATGATTCAATTAGTATTGATCAATAATTAGTTTTTAATTAATTTAGTGATCAAAAGGGACTAATTAAATATATGGGGACTAATTACGGTAACTAGTTATATTTATATGTGTTATGCTTATGATCCATGTTCGACCACGTTTACATATATACACATAAAGAGTTGGGCCACATGAACTATAGATCATAACACCCATGGGTATGGATTTGGGTTATACCCATGACCTTTATAATTCCACATATAAATATGTTACATCATATCCAAAATCACCACCAATATATTGTTGGAGGATATGGAGGTTTGGTGAGGCTAGGATTCTCTCTCAAGTATCATCATTTGTCCTAGGTGAGTTGTGATTCCATTTGAGGTGCAGGTACTAAGTTCTTAAGGGGCCAAAGTCTTCTTAGCAACATCAACAACATCAAGAGGTATGTCTAAAACTTGTCTTATTATACATATCTTATTTGTATGCTAGTTATAGGCTTAATACTTTAGAAACATCATTGTATATATAATTAGTGAAAACATAGATCCAATGTATTTAGGGTTGTGTGTGCACCATAGGATATTGTAGTATACCAACAATATTAACTTTTACCAAAGAAAAATTATATACATGAATTTTCAAACCAAACTAAAGAGAAACCTAAAAAAATCTTACATGCGCTTATGAATTCCATTCGCATTCATGCAAAAGACAAAACTAGCTCGTTCACATTTATAAAAAACACATAACTATGCCATAAACAACATGTATGATTTTTTTTGGGTTATCTTTAATTTTTTTAATTATATAAATTTTCTAATCAGAGATAGTTAATACTTAGTATGTCTATTAGGATTTGTTGATAAGTCTTGTTAGTTGTTAATTATTAATTATTACTAACTAGGTGTGAAACACATGTATTATATGAGTTGATTAAAACAAAAGTTAAATATAAAAGATACATTGATCGATTAAAACAAAAGTTAAATATGAATGTCTAAATATTAAATACTTTTTAAATTAAAATTTATAAATAAATTACATTGAATCGTCATTTTACGTTTTCAAGCTTCAAATTCAAAATTTTAATACCTAATAAAATACAAAACCTTAAATTTTACTTTGTAATATCCATATTTTAGTAAATTAATTCTTTAAAAAAAATTATTACTTTTACATTATAGTTAGATTACAGTATTTATTATTAATTTATAGATTTCAACATGATATGGATTCTAGCGACCCTAAAAACAAACGAAAACTAAGAAAATTACTTGTGGATAATAAAAATCGAACATTATGTCTACCATGGCAATTGGTAACCGTTTAAGGGAGAATTTCATATATGCCCCTTTTAAACCTCAAAATATCATATTTGCCCAGCTTAATTTCTTAATATCATATTTACCCTTCATAAACCCTCAAAATATCATATTTACCGAAATCCTTTTTTATAATGTTTTTAATATTTTATAATCATTTTTTATAACTTAAAATTACTATAATAATTAAAAAATTTAACGATATTATCCTTAATTCTATGATAATGAAATATGAACTTCTAAATTGTTGGAATGTCGTCCTCTTAACAAACAAAAATATTCATCTTCAACCCTCTTTATGGAATGTATATTTTGATTGTTTAGTTTTTTTTGTTGATTATGTTGTAGATGAAGGATATTTTAGATATTACCATTGATATTTTGATGTTTAAAAAGTACACATACGATATTTTGATATTTAAAAAGGGTATATATGATATTATGATGTTTAAAAAGGATATATATGATATTTTGAAATTTTATGAATGGTAAATATGATATTTAGAAATTTTAGGAAGGGTAAATATGATATTTAGAAATTAAGTTGGGTAAATATGATATTTTAATGTTTAAGAAGTTCATGTATGAAATTCTCCCATTGTTTAACTACATGTTAAATTAAATTTATTGTTGTAAATTTTCGATTAAAAAATATTGTTTTATATCGTATCAAATTTTCATGGCATGTTACCAATGTAGTTTATTATTCATTATTATTACTCTTTTACAACAGATGTAGGTTATAGGCAACAAAATTTAAGATATTCAAACAATTTTATATATGTTCACGGTGATAGAGAAAATGTCAAGTCAAATATATCATGTGGATATGAGCATTTAAGTTTTCAATCTATTTATAGTGTTAATATTATAAGTCAATTATCTAAGGATGATAAAGAAAAAAGAAAAATTAGAAAAAGTTATTTGGATAACAGAAGATCTAATGATATATTCACCATCTCAAATGCTATTTTTGTATCTATCATGCCATTTATTTGAACTTAGATCCCTAATTTTATGTTACACATTTATGTTCAGTTTATTCCTTGATTTATTATGTGTATTTTTTGCAAAATAACCAATAAGTATATTTGTTAAATGGTACTATTCCGTACTTACTATTGTCAATGATATCCCTGTGCTTATTTATTCATTTTAAGACAACAAATGTTTACTTATGTGCAGTTGTACGTTGAATTGTTAATACTTAAAAACAAAGACGAATAAAAATATATTAATTTTAGACAATGACAGTAACCTTACCAATAAGACATCTAATATTGTATTCAAAGAAGTATTTAGAAATTTGTGATTTATAACACTGATTTAAAATATGTCAATACTAATTTTTAGTACTTTGAGTTCAATTACGTACTTATTCAATAAAGTATTTGTATATATGTAAAAGTATTACTTTAATAATCATTTAATGTTTACAAGTTGATATTAAGTTTGTTTAATAAACCCGTAAAACACATGAGTTTCACACTTAATATTAACAATAAATCGTTACTTCAATTCCAAAACGTAAAAACATAGGAAGTCAAGAAATATAGTTCAGAATGTACAATATTTTTTGCTAAACATAAACGACTCTTTGAAATTTAAAATTATATTTTCCATTTGAAAATTGCTTGAAAGTTTAATACAAGGCTATAACAAATTAAATTAAACCCTAGACCTAAAATTTTGCAAAATGAAATCTAGAACATGTTTATAGTAAAATGAATCAGTTTTTTCCTTTTAAAACGTAACTTGTCATCGTCAAAGTTTATTAAATGAACGATATAAATAGAATGGCAAAATTCGATATAATAGTATAATATAAATATACTATGTACCCATTCAAGATATGTAAAATGAGCTATAACCTACCTTAATTTTAGGACTTAGAAAAAAGAAAGAAGATATCTATTCTTTTGCATTTGGTGTCACATTTAATTTAATCTAATATAATATAAAAATTACATATATATATATAAATCAGTAATGTGTGGAATTAATTGAATTGGTGAAAATTAACAAAACCATAAATTGACACATGAATTTATTTTAATTTAAAATTCACATAAAATGACCTATCGCAATGCATAGAAAACCTGACACAGGGCAAAAATGATTTTGATTTATTAGGTTACATTATTAATACTAACTACTAATATTAAGACAGGGCTACTGTTTTTGAGTCGATCTCTTAAAATTATTTCACACACACACAAAAAAAAAAAAAAAAAAAAAAAAAAAAAAAAAAAAAGATATTTCTAACATATCATGTATGCTTGATATAAAGTATACTTTTTTTTAAAGATAATGTGTTTTTCATTAACGCGATAAGGTTTAGTGGAAGCTTTAGCCAAAAAGCAAATTTTGAATATTACATGCTGTGTGCATGGAAAAGACATATATCTACACATAATGACCTTGTCAATGGTATCTTCGTGAAGAAACAATAATGATGAAGAAGTTATGGGTTGTTCGATTCTTTCTCTTCTTCACTTTTGCAAACACAAACCTCACTTCAGGTTGCTTTGAACATGAGAGAAAAGCTCTTCTCCGCTTCAAAGGCAGCATTGTATCAGACCCTTTTGGTCGACTATCATCTTGGCATGGAAACAAGTGCTGCCACTGGCAAGGGGTCGGCTGTGATAATGCAACCGGACATATCACAAGGCTTGACATCGAAGGTGATCGGTCATTTCTTACGAGACCTCACATGAAGTTAAAGGGAAATGAGTTGAATTCGTGTTTAGCTGAGTTGAGTCAACTGAGTTACATGGATTTGAGTGGGACGTATTTTGGTGGCAGTCCGATTCCTGAGTTCATAGGATCGCTAACTCAACTCAGATATCTGATACTTTATTCTGCGGGATTTTCTGGTTTGGTTCCTCATTTTATTGGAAATCTGTCGAATTTGCGCGTGCTTGATCTCGGTGACATGGATCTGCTAGTCGTGGATGATTTCACATGGTTTTCAGATCTTTTGTCACTCACGTATCTTGATCTGAGCAGAGTGAGCATTGTTAAAGCTCCAAATTTCAACAAAGTATTGTTGTATATGATTCCTTCTTTACTAGAGTTACGCTTATCAGGTTGTGATCTTTCTAATTCTCAGTTCTATCAAACACATCTTGACTCAAATCTTACCCTTTCCACCATTCAAAAACTTGATCTTAGTTCCAATTTGTTCCATAGTGAATTCCCTCTGTTTTTACAAAATATGACGTCTTTACAAGTTCTTGATCTTTCATTCAATGAACTCAATTCTTCAATCCCAGACATGAGAAACGTTGTCGATCTCAACCTTGCACTGAATAATTTTAAGGCTATTCAAGATACCAGGGTCTGGAGGCTCTGTCGGTTAAAGAGTTTGGATCTTTCATTCAATTCTATGAAAGGGGGATTCATGGGGCCATCAACGAATGGATCCGAATGTGCCCGATTTTCTCTGGAGACGCTGATTCTAACTGACAACGAGTTTGGTGGAGAGATTCCAAAATCACTAGTAAGGCTATCGGCCTTGAGAGAGGTTAATCTTGCATTTAACCAGTTAACAGGAAACATCCCGGAAGCTCTAGGAAATTTAACAAGTTTACAGGAATTAGATCTATCTTGGAACAAATTATCAGGTTCGATTCCTAATTCTATTGGAAACCTGATGTTGTTAAAAAACCTTGATTTATCTTCAAACCTGTTGAACGGGACAATTCCATTCTCCATAGGACGACTGTCTAATGTAGAAAATTTGGGTTTCCCCTACAATCAGTTGTGTGGGCTTCCATTATCGCTTGGAAACCTCTCAAAACTAGAGTATCTAGATATACGCGATAACTTTTTACAAGGGCCATTTCCTAGCTTTCGAAAACTTTCCAAACTTAGTTTGCTTGACATATCGAACAATTCTTTATCTGGTGTAGTCACTGAAGCCCATTTCCCAAATACATCTATGTTAAAATACTTTGATGCAAGCTCAAACTACAGATTGAGCTTCAAGATTTCGCCCGATTGGAGGCCTCCTTTCCAATTAAGAACACTTCAACTTCGATCATGCAAAATTGAATCAGAATTTCCACGTTGGATTCGAACACAAACAAGTCTTGACACCCTAGTCCTTTCCAATACTAGCATTTATGGACCTCTTCCAGATTGGCTTAGCGAGCTCCCAATCATGACCATTCTGGATCTCTCCCATAACTTTCTCAATGGTCCATTGACAAACCTTCCATCTAACCAAACAATCGAGTCTTTAACACAAGGTTATGTTAGTGTGTCAAATACGTTGCTTCTTAAGAACAACCTCTTTAATGGACTGATTCCAGAGTCACTGTGTAATGTTACAAATTTAGCTATTCTCGATCTTTCTAGAAATATGCTATTGGGGACTTTTTTAGATTGTTTTGGAAATCTAAAAAAGCTGAAGGTTGTGATATTAAGTTCCAACCGGCTCTCAGGTGTCATTCCAAACTCTCTTGGAAATCTTGGCTCTTCGCTACAATGGTTAGCTCTAAACAACAATAGTTTCCAAGGTGAACTTCCGAAAACTCTAGCAAATTGCACAAATTTAGCTTTGTTGGATTTGGGTGAAAACAGATTCTTTGGAGGTATACAAAAATGGATTGGTGACAATAGAAAGGTTCTTGTTGTCCTCAGGCTACATAAAAACAGCTTCACAGGTCCAATTCCTGTAGAGTTGTGTAAAATATCAACTCTCCAAATCATGGATCTTGGAGAAAACAAATTAACAGGAATCATCCCTTGCTGTTTCCAGAACATAAGTGGAATGATCACCGGAGGAGACTACATTACAATTCTTTCTCCAGGCACATTCGAGCGCAGTTTAAGCCAGGTAATGAAAGGAGTTACACTGGAGTATACAAACACATTGAGGTACGTTGTCAACATGGACCTTTCGAGCAATAAACTGGTGGGGGAAATACCAAAGGAGTTGATACTTCTTTCTGGGTTGCTTGGTCTTAACTTGTCTAACAATCACCTCACAGGTCGTATTCCAGATAGAATTGGTGATATGAATTCGTTGGAGTCTCTTGATCTTTCTATAAACCAACTTTCAGGGGTGATCCCACAAAGTCTGTCGGCATTGACATTTCTTAGCCATCTGAATTTGTCACACAATAACTTATTCGGAAGAATTCCAACAGGAAGTCAGCTCCAGACGCTCACTGATCCATCCATATATGCTGGCAATAATGAGCTTTGTGGTAGTCCTTTGCCAATCAATTGCAACCATGATGAAGTCCCAGAAACTGGAAGAAATGCTGAGGAAGATGAAGACGATGATGGTGATGAGAAGATATTGATTTATGGTGCAACATGCGGTTTCACAACCGGGTTTATGGGAATTGTCGCAATTATGGTGCTTAACAACAGATGGAGACTCACTTTCTTCAATTTTTTTGGATATCACATTGGCAAGAAACTGTGAAACTTAAAAGCAAATTACAATGCTTGATCAAACATTCGGATTTCGTCTGAAAGTTCATGGACCGATGGGACCTAGCTTATGAAGCACGTAAGTTTTTTTGTTTTTATTTTGTGGAAATGTTGAATGCTTTTAATTTGGTGTCAAATTTGCCTAAGTTTTTTTTTTATTATTTTTTTTTTATTTTGTGAAAATGTTAAATGCTTTTTAGTTTTCATGTAAGTTTGCCTAATAAAAAGGTTATGTTTAGCTTAGTTCCGTTACAAAAGACATTTAGGCAATTTTCTTGACTTTTTTTTTTTTTACTTTTCCCATAAATTTCCTACCGACATGTTTGTAACAACTTTCCGTGGAACATCATTTAGTGATAGATTCTTGAACCAATTTTTTGATAAATTCTGTCATTACTTAGGCCCTAAATAATGCAGATTTAAAAAAAAACAATTAAAATCCAAATTAATAAAAAAAAATCTAAATAAAGTCGATATGTTTGTAACAACTTTCCGGCAAATATCATTTACTGATAGATTCTTGAAAGAATTTTTTGACAAATTTCGACACTAATCAGGTGTTGAATAATGCAGATTTAAAAGAAAACATTTAAAATACTAATTTAAAAAAAAAAATCTAATACAAAAGTCGGCTTGTCATCATAATTGTGCATCATGAGTTTCCACAACAATACGTCAATACCCAACAAAGTTACAACGAAAGCCCAAATCCGTCCACATAGATCTCTGTATAAGCCACTATTGAACATCATTCATCTGTTTTGATCATTGCATTGTGTGCCTATCGCTCTTTTCACTTGACATTGATGGCCCATATACCATATACATACTTTAAAAAAAATTAAAAAGATGTATTTAAGTTTTGTTAGTACACAACAAGAATATTAGGGACGTCCCTTTTTGCGACGACATGAGTAATAGCGGCGATACCAGAGTAGATGCGTTTGGTGTCGCCGCTAAAACATTGATGTCGTCGCTAATAGTATCGTCGCTAAAGATCACCACCACCTATCCGTCGGAGACACGTTACTTTCAATTCGCACCCTTGGTTCGGCAAATAATCCAACGGATAGGTTTTGTTCCTGTGAATAAGAATTAGAGACCATGCTTTTAGCAGCGACGTGTCAATCCGTTGACCAACCTTAGACCAAATACTGGCCCTACGATGCTTTCCCAATCCAACGGTTGGGAATCGCTTGAAAGCGCGCGTATGATTTCCCTCCAGCTTGTCGTTGCTGATGGCCCCTTGTCACCGCTAATAGCCCCTTCCTTGTCGCCGCTAATGGTCCCTACCCTTTTAGTTCCAATTCGTCTTCTCTAGAGTCCATTTGCTCCCCTTTGTTGAAAATCACTCAAACGGCGATCGATCGTCGTATCTGCGGCGACGACCACTTTTTTCCACGAGTGACTGGGCTCCAAACTCGACTCCCACCCCCGATTTGCCTCCAAAGCCGAGGTCCCACCACCTCCTCAGCCGATTGCCGCCAAATTCCCGACTGGAACTTCGATTTCCTGTTCATATCTCCGGCGAGGTTTTGTTTTCAAGACCAATTTCTCTTTCAATTCTTCTGTTAACACACATAACAACCACATATTAATTCCTATTTCAAGTGTTTTTTTTCTCGTTCCAATCGGGACACTGACGACTACAGCTTCACCACTGCATTTACCTTCACTTTTTCGGGAGAGAAGAGGTTAGTTTCATCTGTTTCCGTTCTTAATATTGATTGTATATGGATATTTATAATTCATGAAACTGTGAAATTTGCAAACTGTGAAATTTATTTTGACTTTGAAATTTGGAAAGTGTGAAATTTATATGAAACGAAACTGTTAAATTAAATGTGTATGTAAAATTGATTCAATGTATGTGATTGAAACTTGTTAACTTTGTTAATTCATTGAAACTATATGTAAAATTTATGGAAATTGTATGACATGAAACTGTTAAATTGAATGTATATGATCTTGATTTTGACTTTGGTTATTTTGATTTTTTTCACTTGTTTGAATGTATGTTGAATGTTTAACTTGTTTGAATATATATGTAAAATTGATTGAAATTGTTAACTTTGTTTGAATGTATATGTAAAATTGATATGTTTGAATGTATGGAAACTATTGTATGCAGGAACATGGTAGTTTGATTAGTTTGATATGCTTCAGTTGTTGATAATGTAGGAATTGATGAATTTATATGGAAATTGATATGTTTTATTTGTTGATCATGTATGTTCATGTATGAGTTGATGAATTTATATGTGAAGTTGATATATATATATATATATATATATATATATATATATATATATATATATATATGTGTGTGTGTGTGTGTGTGTGTGTGTGTGTGAAACTATTGTATGTTTAGCATGAGTTTATATGTAAAATTTAAAAATATTCATATGATTATTAGAAATATATTTTATTCTACCTTAAAAAAAATAAAATAAATACATCATAATAGATTTTTTTTTTTCTATTAGATAATAAAAAAATATTGGTTAAAAAGGTTTCTAAAAGAAAAAAGAAAAATAATAAACTAATTAAATAAATAACAAATATATAATTACTTAGTTAAAATTACTCAAAATAGAAAAAATTAAAATTGCTCATAAAGGTTTTAAAAAGAAGAATAAAAAAATTAAAATTGTTTAAAGTACTCAAGATAGAAAAATAAATCAAAATTAATAAATCAAAGTTATAATTACTAAGATATAATTACTCAAAATAGAAAAAATTAAAATTGTTTAAAGTACTCAAAAAGGTTTTAAAGAAAATCTACTAAGATATAATTACTTAAAATGGAAAAATAAAAACAAAAATAAGTTGATAAATCAAATTGGTCAAAAATGTTTTAAAAAGAAAAAGAAGAAGAAGAATAATAAACTAATTAAATAAATAACAAATATATAATATCGTTAAAGTAAAATGTTATAATAACAAAAAAAATTAAAATTAAAACGCTAAATTTACTAAGTTATAATTACTTAAAATAGAAAAATAAAAATAAAAATAAGTTGATAAATCAAATTGGTCAAAAACGTTTTAAAAAGAAAAAGAAGAAGAATAACAATAAAATAATTAAATAAATAACAAATATATAATATCGTGTAAAGTAAAATGTTATAATAAAAAACATTGAAAATTAAAACGCTAAATCTACTAAGTTATAATTACTCAAAATAGAAAAATAAAAACAAAAATAAGTTGATAAATCAAAATATGAAAAAAAAAAAATATATATATATATATATATAAAAAAGATGATATAAATAACAAATATATGTACTATCGTTTAAAGTACCATGCTATAATAAAAAAAAATTTAGTCTAAGTTTCATCTTTTTAAATCATCAAAAGCCTAGAAATACCCGTCCGAAATTGATTTAGAAATTAATTTCGGGTTGTCCCCGTTTTGGGACTGCTTTTTGAATAACTTATCTAATTTAGGATGCATATGTGTATTACATGATTGATTGTTTAAGAAATATTCTGTTGTTATTTTCTCTTTGCTCCTCGGTATATAATTTTATATATACTTAGGAGCTAAAGTGAAATGCTGACGAATTTTTCTTAAACGATTAATCATGTAATACACATTTGCATATGAGGTAAGGTATTCAAAAAGTGGGTTTAGAAGCCTACCCTTGTGAATAATCTCCTGTTGTCTGGTTTTCTATTTCATCTGATTGAGCGGTTAGTCTATCCTTATAAATATCCAATCCAAACTTTACTTCTTGTAGAGTAAACACTAAAACCTAACTTATGTTTCAGTTGCAACATGCCTATTGATAAAACATGGACTACTATTGAAAATCGTAACTCTACCTTGTTTCAATAAGGACTCGAATCTTTTCTCGAGAGGTCCAAACCACATGTCGATAACAAAGGTCAAATTAGATGCCCGTGTAACAAATGTAATGTCACTAAATTTATACTACTAGTCATAATGAAATTCCATATACTTCAACATGGTTTTAGTCCACATTATATTATATGGAAGTATCACGACGAAAATACAACTCACCCAGTTGTCGAAGACATATCGCGTAGTAACGAGATGGCCGATGTTATTCATGATGTTATAGGGGTGTCATTGAAACTGTTACCAACCGCAACGAAGGGAACCTAGATACAGACGATAGAGGTGTTGATGATGGATTTCAAAAGTTGTTAGAGGAAGTCCAATTCAAATTATATCTAGGATGTTCGTTTTCGTCCCTTGACTTTTTAGCAAAGCTGATGCATATCAAGGTGATCAACAAATGGATTGATAGTTCATTCGATCAGCATCTTGAGTTATTGCAAACTGCATTTCCTGAAGGAAATAGGGTCCCCCTTCACATTACAAAGCAAAAAAGACACTTAAAAAGATCGGCTTAGGTTATGAGTCAATACATGTATGTAAAAATGACTTTTATTTCAATCAGGAGTTGTTGTTAGATCACTTTTGTTTCAATCAGGAGTTCCTGTTAAGTATTGGGGAGATGCTGTTTTGACTTCTGTTTTTTTAATAAATAAAATTCCTACTTCTGTTTTAAATGGTCAATCACCTTATGAACTTGTTTTTCAAAGAACACCTAGTTTTGATTATTTAAGGGTTTTTGGTTATCTATGTTTTGCTGTTAAGCCAAATGTTTTTGATAAATTGTCTGAACGTGCTGGAAAATGTATTCTTTTAGGATATTGTTCTGATAAAAAGGCTTATAAACATCTTAGTTTGGATACTAATTCTTCCTTTGTATCCAGGGATGTGAAGTTCTATGAATCTAATTTTCCGTACAAGTTGAAATCAACTTCTGTTGATAAGGTTTCAAATAATTTTGGCCCTAGTGATCTTTTTTCCTGTGATGAATTTGATAATAATAAATATATAAATGATTATATTAATCTCGATGATCTGAGAGTTGAGTATCAATTGGATGGTGCTGATGCAGCCATTGGTACGGATGATGTTGATTCTAGTAATTTTGTCAACCCTGGTGGCGA